CTCCCCGTCGTCCTAGATCGCGGTTGGTAGGCAATATTTCCAACATAACCCCTCAATATAAGCAACGCACAAGTAAATCGCCCCTCCGACTTAAAACACCGCGTGTTCGGATGAGACTCACACTGGGTTCTGCACGTAGGTGCCCTGACCCCCTAGAGCAGGCACACCCGCTTGCTTTGTCGCAGGCATCGGAACACCCGGTACTACATGCAGAAATGCAGGCATGTTTCCCTATCGTTGCTTACGAAGGCGCTTCACCCCCTCCCGCTTTCTTTCAGGCATCACAGGGACGATTTTTAAAGAAAGGTACTGCCCCCCCCCCCCTTCTCTCCCCGGTCGGTCCCAGATGAGACGCCTGAAAGAGTAGGCAACATGCCCAACATCGCCCTGTCCCTCGGTTCGGCTTAAAACCACCCCTGCACCATCACTGTTCACTAGGGGGTGATCGAATTTTGCATATTTTTGATTCGAGAATTGTAATAGTGCGGAAAAGTTGCCCTGGTGTATCCTAAGACTAACCATATTTTTTATATTTTTTTCGGACAAAATCTTGTGTTCGAACCAGGGGCCACGAGTTTAACATTGGTGTCTTATGGGCGTTTTGATCAAAAAGCGTTTTTGGTGTGTTGTTCCTTCAACTTTCGCCGTACATCAAAAATAATGCCAGAATCGTGATCTACGTCAAAAACTGAGACTAACGATATATAATGTGACAACATTCCACTCTAAGAAGCGAAAATAAAATTACCAAACAACGGATTTTTTGAGATATTTTCGAATTGTTTCGTTCTCTTTTTGCCGCTGTGCGAAGCGGGATGTTGACATGCTACACATCGTTAAACTCAGTTTTTGACGTAGATCACGATTTGGGGTCTATTTTTGATGTAAAGTGAAAATTGGAGGAGCAAGGATAGATTAACAATTTTTAACCAAAACGCCCATAAGACACCAATGTTAAACTTTTGGCCCCTGGTTCGAACACAAGATTTTGTCCGAAAAAAATATAAAAAACATGATTAGTCTTAGGATATACCAGGGCAACTTTTCCGCACTATTACGATTCTCGAATCAAAAATATGCAAAATTCGATCACCTCTACTGTTCACATAAGTCGCATGAGAGGTAGGCAATGCGCGAGCCCGATAAGCTCGATATGTGGCATACCTCGCCGTCCCTTTCACATCACTTCATTTTAGAGGCTGCCTATCTGCATTCGTATACTTAAATAGTAAAATGAATAAAATAATTTCGTGTAATGAAATTATATTCGAATCGAAATT